TTTTTTTTACTGACAGCCTGTGAGCTGTAAAAGCTTTTTGGGCAGTGATGCTGCAGCGCAGACAGAATCAAATCACCCTAAATGAAGTGGATCTCACCGAGTTATCCGAGGCCACAGCAGTGAGAGAGGAGCTCATCCTACCAGATAATGCAGGTTTACACAGCTGTAGGGAGCAGCGACATGAGTGCTGAGCAGACTGATGAAGCCCTTTCACCTTACTTTCATAAAAATCAATTTCACAGATGAACCAGGACACAAAGATTTGCTTTACCTTCAAAGTGAAGCTAAAAAGCTTTTTGCTCAGTAGGAGCTGAATTGCACTCTTTGTCAGCGTTTTGTGACTCATATCTTTCAACGTTTGTCTTGTTTTCAGACTGATGTGAGTCAAATCCCTAGAAGACAACTTTACTGCTGTAGCAAATCTAACAGTGCAGATTTGGAGCTCAGACTCATTATTATATTGGTACCTCACCTTCCTGCAGGGGTTTTGTAAAATAGCACACAGATGACTGCCATGTGACTGTTGCCACAATAACACAGAAATAAAAAGATGGACTTACAGACGCTTTGCTCGGTTTGTCTCGTCAGCTCTGGTGAAAGCCGTGAACACTGCAGTGGATCTGATCGTGGCTCACTTCGGCACCAGCAGAGACCCCGATGTTAAGGTAAGCCTGGGGTTCACAGGTGAGGCAGCCACACACGATGGCACGAACTGCTCATTTGTGAATATGAACTCACACGCTGGTTCTACTGGCTGATCAAAGTTATACGTATAGAATTTGCACAAACGCATCACAACTGCAATGAAGCGCAAAAGAACAAAAATGTGTTTTGTGGTGAATTGCACCAGTTTCACCATCAGATGGCGCCACCTGACTACTTGGTGAGAGTGAGCAAGCTGTTTGTGTACTTGTAGCAAATGTTATGTAATATTTATTTGTATTTTTATTCTGTATTTGTATATGGGACAAATACAGAATAAACACACGCTGCATCTAAAGCAGCGCTTGGTTCAGTAGCTTTAGATTCAGTGTCAGGGGGACAGAGCGTTCTGTCAGGCTGTCACCCACGGTCGGGTAATCTTGTCTCAGAGCATCAATGCCACAAACATCTATCGTTTATTGTTACAGTGGTAATATTATAATATAATTTCTGGCAAATACATGTGAGTTTATCAGTTGGTGAGGTGGACCACAGTGTCACGGTCCGGGGTCGGTGACCCAGCGTTTCTGTTCTGTGTTTCTTGCTGTCCAGTTAGTGATTCCTAGTTTTTAGGTTTTGATTCCTGTGCCCCTCATGTTTGGTGTACGTTTAGTTCTGTCCTTGTGTTTATTATGTTCCCCAGTCAGTCATTTCTCATGTCACTCACTCCATGTTCCCTCTGTTCAGTATCAAGTCCGTGTCTCTGTACCTGTCGTGTGCTTCCTGTTTTATTTTGACAGTCCCTGTTCTGTTCCCATGTTTTCTCTGTACCTTTCCTGGTCCCACGTCTCATGTCTAGTCTCCCTGTCTCTATGTTCCCGCTATAACATGTCAGTTTTGTCGTAGCGTTAAGCTCGCGTCTCTGAGTCTGTGACTGTACTTCTCTACAACCCGCCAGGCAAAGCTCGGGAACAGCTGGGTGAGTCCCAACGTGGGTCACCTCATCCTGAAGTATCTGTGTCCGGCTCTACGTGACGTGCTGCAGGACGGTCTGAAGGCCTACGTGCTGGACCTGATCATTGGACAGCGCCGCTGTCAGCCCTGGAGCCTCGTGGAGGCGTCCACACAGCTGGGTGAGAGCGCTGGGTGGAGGGGACATACCGATACTTAACAATTAAAGTTGATTTTGCGGGAAGTTGGCATTAGTATTGATCCACCGCAGTGACTCGCTCACTGTAATGCTGACCCTGCGCTGACAAAGGCCTGACTAATTCTAAGAGGTGATGAAGCAGTGACATGTTGAACTAAACTGCACGATTTTCACCATCAGTGTCGGAGACAACAATGGTGCAGAAGGATGAAGTGAAGTAATAGAGTAGTAATGGCACCTTTCAAAATAAAATTACAAAGTGCTTCACAAGACTAGAAAGGAAACAACAAGCAGTAAAACATTTAGAAAGATAAATGAAACATTAGAAGATTAAAAATCGTGAACAAATAAAATATGAACTGCAAAGCAGATAAATAAAAACAAATATGATAAAAAATAAAAACGACTAATAGGAGGCATAGATTGTGTTTATAACAAAACGAAACTTTGACCTTTGGCAGCGCTGACATGAGCAGGGTTCAGGTGACTGCAGAGCAGCAGGGCACAAAGAAATGAGCTCCTTACCTCCATGTCAAACTTCACCTTCTAACCAGGGTCCCAAAATGCTTACTCGTTGTACTTTCCTCTCTATTTGGGGTGCATTCACAAACAGCTACATTCATTCTTTTGCAGATGTTGTTTAAGCTTAACGTGTGTTTTTTGAAACGTGTGTCCTTTCAGGCCCGTCCACACGTGTTCTCCACAGCCTGTTCTCAAAGGTGAGCCAGTACTCGGAGCTCACGAGCCACAGCATGAGACTGAATGCTTTCATCTTCGGCCTGCTCAAGTGAGTCGTTTCATTTACTGCTGTTTTCATTCTCAGTTTACACTCTGAGCCTGGAGCTCACTCTGATTCGCTCTGACACGACAACAGCTTCTGTGTTTTTGGGTCTTAGTGACTGCAAAATAGTGACGTTTCTACTTTAGGTTTATTCTCGAGGTCATCATGGTGTGTTGAAGTGCATTGCATTTAAAAGCGTTACTGTTTATGTCCGATAACAGAGGTGATGTATGAAAGTCTCAGTCAGTTAAGAAAAACACAATCTGTGAATTCTTGAAGTCAAACAGATTAGAAACTATTGAAAACTCGTTCTGAGTATTTTAAACCTCACGTTGTTTGCATTCATGACTTCTTGTTCCATTTCTTTCTGGCACATTCCTGCATATCTTGGCACGTTAGTGCCCCCTGTTGGTCAGTGCTTTAGTGTATTTGTGGCTATGTGTGTAACCTACAGTGAAATGTAATCAGATTTTTTTTGAATGAACAAAGTAATCATGTTGTGAGCTGTTATTTGTCTCTCGTAACCTTTTTGTTCTAGGTTTTGATTACCCGCTCTCTGAGGACATGTTTATAAGCTGGAGTGTATTCATGTGTGTTTTGAACTGATGTTATTCCTTAAAGACGGCCTAATATTTGCCTAATCAGCACTAAATTATTATTCTTGAGGTATGTAAAGTAACGTTGAATACTTCACACTTCAGTTTACCTAATGCTGGCCTTCATCGTCAGGGGCAACCTCCCAGATTTCCTCTAATAGGCTTTGAACAGGTTTGAACAGTGGGTGGGCGGGGCTTCTGGGATATATGAACTGTGTGTTGGACATGAAAGTACAAAGGCAAGAGTTGAGTTCAAAGCTGGCCGTGTGAAGGTGGAAATGGACCAAAATGCAGACTCACAAAAGCAAGAATAAACTCAGAAGGCAGCTTCATTGCTGAACACTAGAAATACAAAAACTAACTAAACTGGAAATACGCATGAAACTAAACAGGTGGGAAGGCAGAACACTCGGCAGGGAACGAGACAGATCACGACGCTGGACAGACAGAAACAGAAGGCTTAAGTACACCAGGAATGACGAGGGAACAGGAAACACATGGGGAACACAGCTGAGACAAATTACACACAAAGAGACAGAAGAAGCGAAACTAAACACACTGAACATGGAACCAAGACTGTCAAAATAAAACAGGAAACACTAAGACGCAGACTAACTCCCAACATGACACGGGAACTGAGAGGAAAGCACACGCAGGGAAACAAAATGGATTCTGTAGATAACAGGAGGAGACAACGAGGGGGACGCAGAAACAGTTAACGGAGACGAGACAGAGCGAGAGGAGAGACATGACGGCCTGGGAAAAATAGATGGGGGGAGCGTGGAACGACACACAAGGAGGGGAACATGGGAACAGAAGAGGGAAACAAGACACAAGGGCTCACACAAACACACACAAACAAAGACACGCACAGAGGGACGCGGTAAACTAATTATAATACAAAAGACACCAAAACTCAAAACACTGGTCAAAAGGACCCAGAACCATGACACTGAGCGTCTAAAGCACTCGGAGCTAAAGAATGACTTCCATACACTGACCCCATTATCATCAGTAGCAGAGAATAACAAAGAGCATGATGGGTCCCCTTTAAAACCATGTCAGAGCTGATTAAAAGACTCCGTTTTGGGTGTGATGACTGTTTAAATGTCTTCTGCAGGAGACTTTTACTCTGCTGCAGGTTTTAAATAAGTGACTGTTTTTCTGTTTTAGTCTGAAATCTTTGGAATTCTGGTTCAATC